GGGGGCGATGCGCACACGACAAGCAATGTATCTGACGGGCATCGAGCCTGCGGAGGGTTGTTGCTAAACGACTTGGGTCGACGGCAAGAGCATCACCCTGGTGCTCGACGCCTGGATGTTGCGCGGTGCAGCAACGTTGGCATGTTGGATCGATTTCGAACGAGAAGGAAAGCACGGGCGTAACGTTGAGACTCTTCAACGCCTGGGCGGCAACCCCGATGCCGTCGAAAAAGCTGAGCAACGCGACTGGTCGAAGGGCCGTGAAGCACTGATCGTCGGCCGGGGACTGTGGCACTCCGGGCTGGAGAGGAGGGGACGGGTGTGCGCTTTCTGGGTGCTCTGGACGGACACTGCTGAGGGCTTGCTCTTCGGCAACGGCACCGGAACTTTAGGGACGGGAGAGGGCGGCGGGAGAGGGACCTAAGGCGTTAAGGGGTCTTAACCTGAGTTACAAGTGTTTGCCGCCCTACGTGGCGCCCGCGCTCCAAGCTGTCCCTAGGCGGACTGGTGCTGCCCGGTCACCTGCGGGCGGGCTTGCACTGTGTGAGGAGGTTGCTGGGCATTGTGGGCGAACTTGCAACTGGCACGAACTTGCAGTGGCCGGTGACGAACAACCTGCACTGTGGGACGCCTGTGCTTGCCTGGCCTCCCTGAGGTGTAGCTTGGTGTGGGCGGTACGGGGACGAGCGCGTCCGCTTGTCGTGGTCGGTCGCGAGCGACTTTGTCTTGCCCTTCTGGTCGCCCTTGCCTCCTTTCTCGCCCTTGCCCTTGGAGTCGGGGGGCATGTAACGAGCGAGCGCCGGCCACACTCGTTGGCGATAACCTCCTTGTAGGCGACCGCGAACGAGCTTCCTTCCCTCATCTTCATGCACAGTGACCAGGAGCTGCGAATATACAATTCGCGCAAGTGAGGATACTTCGTCGCGTGGTCACGAACAAGGTTGGAGAACCACCCGATCCAAGAATGCAAGTGGATCTCGGGTTCCCAACGCGCGAACAGGAGACCAAGGCGAACTGGTTCGAGGAAGTCCAAGAACGTCTGCAACTTCTGAGGCTCAAGCACACGCGCTTGGGCGCGTGGTCGAACTGGCCGTCCTCCGTGAGCACCAATCGCGAACCGGGCTCCTCTTTGATGCGGAACGGGTTGATCTGCCCGCAGACTGTGAACTGCCTGTGTGCAGCAAGGGGGAATACGAGCTGGTCACCCTCTCGCGCACTAGGCGAGCTATAGAACCTCGTCCGCGCCCGACAAAAGGTGTGTTGGGAACTGGCGGGGAATCCCTCCTATTGTCTCGGCATGGTAATCAGACAGGAACTGGGCCCAATAGTTGTCGGGGAGCGTCTTGGCGCTTTAGGGACCTTGGTCGTAGCCACGGAGGAGGCCGAGGCTGGTGCACCGGTCGTCGGAGCAGCGGCAGCCACTCGCGCCGCTCGCACGACCCGGATCTCGTCCACCATGCGCGCGAACACCGACGTCGCTATCAGGAACTGGACGTCCTCAAGCTTATCGCTGGCGCCTGTGCTCAGCTTCACTCCCTCACCGACCGAACAGGGTGTGAGGAACTTTTTGACTGCGGCCGGGTCCTGAAAAGTGTGGAAAAACGACCCTGAGTTGTTATAACGCCGTGATCCATGAGTAGCTGGACCAACTTCGGCTCAAGACCTGCGTCATTGGCCAGGTCCTTGAGAACTGGCAGCGCCGGCACCGGAGTGGTCATCGTCGAAAACCTCCTCGGCTTCCACTGGTCCTGCTACTTCTGCGCGCGATCTGTCCTGAGAAGAAGAAACTGCGGACAGGGAGACCTCATCTGGGAAGCAACCAGCACAGTATCTGAAACCCGGCAACAACGTAGCGTTACGCCAACACGAACTGGTGCCATAGCGCCATTTCCCGCTAGACGAAAACCACTGATCGGAAGGGACCTCGGCTTCCCCGGCGCAAGGCTTGTGCGCGAACCGGGTGCGAACGTTATGAACGATGACACCGTGCCCTTGCAGACATTCGGCAACTAGCTTGCGAACTTGGTCGCGAAGGGTATCCCCAACTGAAACGGCACCGGAGCCGACCAGGTGCGAAGACACTGAGGATGCCGGCCTCTTGCAGTCTTGCACATAGCGTAACACTGCCAGTGAACCCCAACGCCCTATATCAATTGAATTTAATTGAATGGTGGGGAGCGGGGGCCATCAATTGGTTCCCTGCCACCCTAAACGCGTGTTCTGCCCAATCCTCTATAACTGGGCCGAAACCCAGCCTTCGGACGCGTCACTATGCAGAGCGAAAGCGGCAGCCTGAGCGACTCTTGCCACCTGCCCCTTGGAGGCTCGGCCGAACCGGTGAAGAAGAAGTGCTCACAGGGTGCCACTGTCGGCGGTGCCGAAGAGCAATGGCCATGTTGAGGGCACCATGGTAAGGGCACAGCGCCTGGAACCCAAGCCGGCACGGACAGGTCTGCTCTACCTGACATGACCGGGCGTGCATTGCCTGCAAATGCATGCGCGTGACCTGGTGCACCCTCTGGCGGACGGGTCCATCTTCGACACAGACAGAGAAAACCGAACATGGCGCTCGCCACGAACCAGGGTAACGTCCCGGCACCGGACATTTCGATCTCGATGCCTCGTAAAAGAAACCAGTAACCAGAGCGCAAGAGTCACAACAGAAAGGGGCTGGTCGAACCGTTGGTCTGGTGGCACCTGAAGGCGGTCATAAGCCTGACGGAGCTGGTCATCGAACTCCTGTCCCGCCTTGTCGACGAATAGGTCACGCTTCGGCCGGGTCGGCCCGAGACCCCTCGTGATGGATCGCACGGCCTGCTGAACTGCCAGGTCCAATGCATCCGACCAGGGATGATCCGCCTCGCGGTGCCTGTGCTTGAGCAGAGCGCCCACCTTGAAGATCAGATCACTTCCCTCGTGAGCGGAAGCGGGTCCAACGACCTGGAGGCACATAGCCTCTGCCATGTCTTCCAACGCAGATCGATGGGCGCTCGCGAACTGGCTGCATACCTGTCTTCCAGAAAGGCCTCGTCTAGCTGCTCGAAAGAGGCGGGGCCAGCTTCTAACGGGATCCTCTGCAAAGAACCCCTATAGATCCTATAGCATAAGGATGCACGACCAAGAGGTCGGCCCGGGACTTCTGACGGGCCACGCTCAAGCTGGAAGCTTGCGGCTGAAGAAGCTTATCAAGCCCGACGTCACCAAGGATCGCTTCAAGCTGCGACCAGGAGGCTGCCGCCAACTTCACGGCGGAATTAATGCCTGCTTGCTCGCAGGTCTTCCAGCTTGTCAGCATAACCAATGGCAGTAAGCACCTGAACCAATGACCCACCAAAGGTGTGCTGGTTCGTCCCTGCAGGGAGGCTCCACATTGCGAACTTTGACCTGCCGGTCTTCTAACACCCCTGCCGGGACCAGACACTGAGAGTGGGGTCGAGTCGGCTCGGGCACGAACTTATAGGGCGAGAGGGGGGAAACAAACCGGACAGGAACCCGCAAGCACAACCAAGGAACACTAGTGCCCTGAACACCCCACCCCCGGCAGCACTCGAACGAGGTCGTGCGACGCAGTAAGGTTAAGGAAACCTGGGCCGAACAGGGGTCAGGGACACAACACGAACGGCCCTGAAGGGGGGAACCCCGACCCCGAACAAACCGGCTCGGAGAGACGGGCTCGCCAACGAACGTGCGACGCACAAGGGAAAAGGAAACCCGGGGCCGAACGGGGAAACCCCAGCGAAAAGGGACGCAGAAGCACAACAGCCCCGGCAGCGGAGGAGCCAAGGACCCCGTCGGATGCCGTGATCAAGACTGCACTCAGGGTCCTGGTCGGGGCCACGGAAGATGCCTTGATGGACTCCTTAGAGCAGGTTCGTCTGAAGGCGCGGGTGCGACTGGCTGCGTTGTTTGCCCAGTCTGCGTTGTTTGCCCAGTCCGTCGCTGCCAGACGCTTGGTACAACAGCGAGGCCTTGGCGGCTGCCCTTTTCGATGAGCAGAAGGTGGACCAGGCGTTGCAGGACCCGTCGTGACGACGGTCCTGTCCGACAGCGAGACGAGGGCACCCACCACGTGCCGGAGCAGCTCCCGGTCGCGCCTGGGCGCCCGCTGGCAAGGCGCCTAAAGTCAGCGATCCACAGCGCTTGGACCCAAGGGATGCCAGGTCGCAGCCGAAGGGGCCCAGTTCGCCGCCAACGGCTCCCAACACTGTACGCTCAGCTCACCGTCCCGGCCGAGTTCCAGGACTACATCGCGACCGAGACCTACGCCAACGACCCGGTGATTAGCGCGGGAGAGACCAAGTGACACCGTTGTTCAGGTATCCTCCGGTGCCGGCGCACGTCCAGTTCGGAGGAGGGCCGCTGAAGGTGCCCGTGAAAAGCCTTCCCACCACACAGCCAAGGCCACCTCCTCCAGTTCGACTTCGGCCACTACTTCCACAACGCCGGCTTCTACCCCGTCCGCGGTCGAGCTACCCCCGGGTCGGCCACCGGCACGCCAGCCCAGGACCCGAGCTACATGATCCCGGTCGCGAAGTTCCTCCTGGCCGCGGTCGGGCTTATATTTATAGTTCTTGGGACAAGTTCGGCGACGCCAGGACCCGGCAGGACCTTTCTGTCCGTAAGTCTGGGCTCCTCGCCCGTACAGTATGTCGCTTCCAGCAAAAGGTTTGCTTCGCTCACGCCGTGGCGCCCGTTCGGGGTTGTTTGGTAGTCCAGCGGTCGTCGGACCGTCACCCCAACTGTGCTCGTCGACGCGATCCACAACCGGGTGAGGGCCTGGCTCCGCGGCCGGCGTCGGCGTCACAACTCCAGTGTCAGGTGCAGCTGACGGGGTGTCGGCCTTCGCCTGGGCCGCATCTGCCATAGCTGCACGGGATGTTAAGCTAAAACTGAAAAGCTTTGCCGCACCGGCCAGACTCGAGAGGTAACATCGTCGGACGGGTTTTGTCACTAGATGCACACGTGCACTACCACACAAATCGTGTAAGCTGCTAAGTTGCCTGAAACCAACCTCCCACGCTCGACATTCATGACTTCAGCAGACCTGCCGTGACGATACAATGCGGAAGTCTGCACAGGCTTCAGATTCTCGGAGTATCAAGCTTGCTACATTGGATCGAATCCGAGCCAGGGCAGCGCTGGACGCGGTATCGGAGATGAATCAGCCTGCAGAAAGATCATCCTGCGGTCGACTCCGTCGTAGATATTCTAGGCTGTTTTTCTGGGGGTCGTCCGGTGCCTCGGCGGCCTTCCCCCGGCAGGGATCTGGTGGAGCCTCAACGCTCACAGAGAGGTCCAGTCCAGTCGTGTTGTCGTTTTTTTTAAATGGCGCTTCCTGCACTGTGATGTGTGCATCCACTTCAACAGCTGATCAGAGGCATGACGAGGCAGAATTCTCTGCCGGTTGAGCTCTCCGCTGAGGCACCCCTTGCAGATGCTCTCTGTTCCGCAGGGGCCATCGGTGGCGTCGGTAGCGAAGACTTGGAGACCTCTAACTTCTCTGCATTTCGCCTTTTTGTTTCGGAGTCGTCCGCACCCTTTCAGGCCTCTTGATGGCGAACTCCCGCTTCGGACCCCGAGTTCGGAGTGCTCTCCGTGGGCTTGATCTCCAATCTGGGTATGGGCAGATCCAGGAATGGCCCAAGGAAGTCGGATCGCGGCACGATCTCGCCTCACATCGCAGCTGCTTGCACACTCGCCGGCGACATAGACAGCACCTTCGTGAACATGCACTCAGACCCGACAATCATGCCACTCTGAGCTGCGATGTGCCGGAATGCTCCGATCGCGCCTGCATCCGGGGGCTTGTCCATAGCCTCATCACCGACCTTGTACTCGTCCTGACACCCCAGGTGCAGTATGAGGCAGCGGCCTGCATTCAAGTCACAGCTACGTCCTTCGCCTGATCAGGGGAACCGGGACCCGAAACTGGCGGTGTGGCACCTGATCACTGGCAAAAAGTCTGAAGTCGAGGTCTGGGAGTCTAGCACGCTTAGTCCTTCACTCTCCGCTTGTGCCCACAGCGACAGCGGCATGAACCGTCCACTGAAGACTGAATTCCTGCGGTCCGTCCCTCCTGCAGGCAGATGCGGGCGGAAACCTGTTACCAAGGCTGCTCGTACGTCCACTTTGGGGAATGGAAGACGGGCCTGCAAACTCTTCTGTGAGCCTCCCTGTATCCACTCTTTTGATTGCGGTCCTGATGACACCTCTGGGCTCACCAAGGTCGCCAACGCAGCTCCTGCCGAGACTTGTGCAGCTGCCTTCTCAAGCGCCGTCGTCGTTCTGTGACTCCTCCTGTTGCTGTTGACACTCGGCTTGCAACAGCCATGGCTTGTCGCGCTCCCGCTGCGGCACCTCGGAGGACAAGCCGAGCAGCAACTGGAGTCCCTCAATTCACAAGGGGACGGACGTGCAGCGGCTGCCGCAGCTCCAGCAATCCTTGACTTCCAAAAAAAAGCAGGGCAGCAGGGGGCATCTCTGTGTCGAGGTCCCGGTCCGGCCTGCTCCTTGACGGACCGGGGCTTGCGGTGACCGGCGTGATTGGCGTTATCGGCGTGACAGGCGCTGGCAAAGGCGTCACCGCCAGCGGCGTGGCGGGAGCAGCCGGAGGTGATGGCAGTGGAGTGACGTCCTGCCACGGGAGACAGTGACAACAAGAACTCTTACCGAGCCTCAGCACCTGATAGGTCGGCGAGGAGCCATCGACAGGATCTGGGTCCTGCAGCCGAATGCACAGCAAAGACAAGCAAAGCCTAAAGCCTAAACGGTTCAAGGGTCCTTCACGACTCTCATCTTGGCTGGAGGCCAAGACGCCACCTGACCCAGCAGGCGGGGCGGGGACCCAGCTTCGACGTCTCTCCGTGCCCGCCTCCAGAGCAGCCAGCGCCTCTTCGTCACCCTGGATCACATGCCTCCGACGGATGCTTCGCCGCTTCGCCCGCACTCTCGCTGTTCACTCGTTACCAGCTCTGCCTGCAGCGAGGGTCCGGAGGAGAGTCCTCGACGCAGTGCTTCTCTGGAGGTGAGCACCTGGTCACTCTTTATCTCGGCGACATCGCGGCGGCCCAAAATGCCGCCAGAATGGGGCTCTTCCAACATGTTGTTGACTTCTCGTTTGCCGGGCCGATTCTGTGATTGGAGTGGCGAGTCCTGTTGGGCTGGGGGTTAAAGTCGCATTTGGGCTCCGAAGCGTGCTTGGCAATCCGGGCGCAAGGGATCGCTGAATCTGGGAGGCTTCAAAGCATTTCAAAACGACACAGCTCCACATGGTTTCCTGGTTGCAGGTTCGTCCAACACATGCACAAATTTGTGCCGAACTGTCTGGGTCTCGTCAGTGCCACCCCGTGCGGTTGTGGTAGCTGTGCACACGCCCCGCCGCCCCACCAGCGTGGCAGGGCCTCTTCGTGGTCGGACGCTGCCTCGGGCCCTCATCCTGCACACGTTAGATCAGGTGATTCGGTTAACCTATCTTAGCAAGAAGATTCGAGAAGCCAAACTGTGCTTGATCTCTCCTCCACTGGGTTCACGACATCCTGCAGACAAGGCCCTTGCACGTTGCACAGTACTTGCGCTTCTTGTGAGTAGATGGTCCTTCTCATTCTCACAGTCCCAGTGCGCCGCACCTGGGCTTCAGAGCCAGGTCGAAACGCTTTGCCGTGGCCGGGGCCCCGGGGCCCCGGGGCCGGAGCCGCTCTCACATGGCTTCTCCTGCGGAGGCAGCCCTTCGCTACCGTCCACGTGAGGCTTTGCCGTGCCTCGGGTGGAGGCAATGGCCCAGCTCCCGCCGCTGGCCGGTTCCTGCTTGGGCTCTCCTGGCTTGCACCACGGATTCTTTCGGCTCTTTTTTGTGGGGGGGCACTTTTTCGCCGCCTCAGGAGGGACATCGGAGTCCCGGGTGTCGACTCCGAGGATCTGAAGCTCCTGAGAGCGTATCACCAATCCATACTCTGATTTTCCTGCAGTCGGGAAGAGGCCTCTCCGTCGACCATGAAGACGAGGTGCTTCTGCTTCGCTTTGGGTGACGGGATCGACTGGATGGTTGAAATCGTTACCGGGGAGATCAAAGCGCTCGCCGAGCTTTGCTCTTCCACTTCCAGCAGTGGTCTGAGAGGCTCTGACTTCATACGCAGGCTGGAGGGCTTGCTCTTGCCCGAGGCTGTCCCTCTGTTCGTTGGCTGTGATAGCTCAGGGCTTTGTGAGCTGTCACTCACAGCTTCCTTTGATGCATTTGTCCTTGGAGACTCGTCGCTTTGGACGGGCAGAAAGGTGGTCGTCCTTTCCGGATTTGACTCAGCGGGCACCTGGCACAGAAGTGTCCCTGGGCCCTGGACTTACACAAAGTCAGATCAACGTCGCGCCAGCCTCGGGCTCTGCAGAGGCCTGATGCTGCCAGAGACTGCAGAGTGATCTGTGCCGAACTTGTGGTGACCAACAAGAAGGCCTCTGCCCGCGGTGTTCGCAGGCTCGCAACACTGTTGCCTTGCCACGATGTTGTCAGAGCAAGTCAGCCAATGATAGGTTGAGCGGATCTCTGCAAAGGCTTTTCGCACTGACAATCCACCACGCCTTCGTCCATCCTTGCATGCTGCGGGGCAATCCGGTTTGAAAGGATGCTCAATGACTACAGGCTTAGGCACGATCCTTGATGCTGGCGACGGGCTTGTCTCCGTGACCTGCGTTTCCCAACAGCGGCATCAGAAGACGGTCACCCGACGATAACTTCCCGAGTTGAGAGCAACTGTTTCAGCTGCTTCTTCTGATACCGATGCCGTATGCTCGGTCGCCTGCCAGCTAGATTGCAAAGCGTCCCGGCTGCAAAACCACTAGGTCGCAGGTGCGAAGTCTCCACGTGTCTTCGGCGAAAGAGGAATTGAGGAGCTCTGCGTGAGCTCTGCACAAGAGCAATCACCTCACGCCAGCTCTATCTGAATCTAGTTGGTGTCTTATCCTGGAGGTGCAGCAGCATCCTTGCAGAAAGCAGAAAGATTTTGCAACCAGTGAAACTTGGGGCAAACATGGCAGCACATTACAACTTTTCCAAAACTGTGTGGTTTTGCGATGCCGGTTGTCGTTCAATTTGTGTCTGTACTTCTCGTGACGCCACGCGTCCAGAAAGCAGCAAGGGCGTGGTTTCCTTCACGCTGTGTCCCCAGCCTGTTTTGTTCCGGCTTGCCATACGGCATTTTTGTCGCTGGTCTCTCCCGCTACCCCACCTGATGCTGCAATCAATCCTGCCCTGTCTCTGATCACTCATACCAACAGCGACTGACAAAGCCTGTCCCTGCACAAAGGTAGACGGTGACTCGGGCTCCTCGCAACAGGCACAACTCTTTCACAAGCTTGTCGAACCGACATCATTCCTGCTCTCCGTCACCGTCGTCTGCGGACACCTGGCACATCACAACAAAACAGCAGTAGACATGGGTCCCCACACGTGGACCAGCCCGCACTGGTTACCGAAGGAAAACATGCCCCTGCAGTGCAGGACCACGCTATGCAACGGCCCAACAACTGGACCTCCACGGACTGAAATCGATGCAACCTGTAAGAGACAGGGGGACACGAAAAGATTCACAAAAGAGAAGATGCCTGGAGGAACGGAGACGGAGGGACTTGGCCTCGGACATCCCAGACTCTGACCGAGTGGGCGATTGACTCGGAAACGACTGCACCTCATCCCACGAGCCGATGGGACAGGCAAAAAAAGTGATAGCACCACATTGCTTTGAATCCTGCCGTCACCTCTCGTGGAAGCACACCCTCCTGAAGTACAGACAATGTAAGTGAAGGTTCAACCACTCTGCAGCAATCTGATCCATCTACAATGTGCAAAGCTAAGGTCGGGCCTCCGCGCGAGCGGATGCGCTTGTGGCAGCCTGCAAACAGCAATCAGAGTTCCAATGCAAGCCGTTTGGCTACACCAGTGCAGGTGGCGAAGATGCCTCGTACGCAGCCAATTTGCGATAATCTTGCAGGAACCTGTGGAAGTGCCCTTGGCCCTTGACAACGTGCAGCACATGATATGCCCCGAAGCATGAGCCGGCCTGTCTACTAGATCTGATTGACATTCATGTCGAAGAAATTCTTCTGGATTAAATTGTGGCTGAGGTAGCAAACTCAGACGATGAAGGATGCACACGGAGTCTGGAAATGTTGGAGCGCTCAGGTGTTCAAGGCTGCTGCTCGTCCCCGCCACCAGCAGAGGCAGACGAGGGTGCACTGCAGAAGCTGTTCGAGGCGGTGAAAAATCCTGGGCCAAGGAAACATGTGCGGAGCAGGCAAAGCGCGACCCTCGCAAAAAGCCGATTGCTCCTCGACTCTTGCCATGCGGCCGCGGCGAAGGTCCTGTGATTTATCAACTTGAACCACACGAAGCTTGGCTTGGTCAAGAATTACCAGCTGCTATATCCTGGGCTTGCCGTCTCCTCCTCACCTTCGGCAGCAAGCAGCAAATCGGCAAACGCATCAACATCACTGCAGCCATACTGCCTGTCTGTTGAAAACGTCGAGGGCAACAGCGCCACCTGGAAAAAGCCTTCGCAGGTTGATCTTCAGAACACGGAAAGTCAAGTTTCGAGGCAGCTTACACCTCTGTGTTGTCGGCCGGAGCTTCTTCATCTGCGGGCACGGAACCACAAGGCCACCAAATCTTCTTCAGGTCCGAGTAAACGGACCTCATCTTTGCAATGCATCTTGTCCGTTTTGCAGCCAATACGGTGACTGGGAACCGGGCCGAAACGATTGGAATCTCCACTTCTGCAAGCCGGCCGAAGATCCTGCACGAATCCAGCGCACATCGACGTTCCACATCAACCTGTATCAAATCTGCATTGCCTGCAACATCATCATGAACCATGGGCAAAGCCTTTCATCCCATTGCACATGGCATCCCGCAACTCTCTCTCGTGGCCGAAGACTGTGCTTCATGTTGTGCGAAAAAATGAAAATGTCAAGTTCGATGGACATCCTTCTGCCGCTTCAAATCGGCGCCTATACTACGGCTACACAAGGATCCCTCAGACTCTTGCATAACCTCGCGGGAACGAATCCCTCTACAAAGCCAATGTGGCAAAGGTCGTAGGCGCTCGTCAGAATTGAAACATATGCAGAAAACAACGAAGCTGAGAGCGCGGAGTTGTGCTTCATTTTGCTATGGAGTCCTAAACCCGAAACTCCAAACCCAATACTTTTGGGGCTGCGCCCTTGTGCGTCATCGCAACATTGTGTGATTTTTATTTCCAAATGCAACGTCAATAGAAATTCAAGGATTATTCAAGCCAATTTACTTATAACTTTTGAATCAACCAGCAGCAGTCAAGTAAAACTAATTCGATTAATGCTCGTGTGAACACGGAAAACCTTTTTTTTGGCGTGGGCGGGCCTCAACGACAGCAAGTTGCTGCACTCGGTCCCAGCAAGAACTACAAGAAAGCCAAAAACTAAAGACACTGTACAAAGAAAAGAGAGCAAAGGTGAGACAGGCCGCGACTAGCAGACTTAGCCGGCAGACGTCGTTCGGCAAAACATACGAAAAGCTAGCGACTACCCCGCTCAGATGCCCCGCTTCCCAGTTACACTGAGTTGCGCAATGGCACACGCATGAATCCCCTTCGTATGGAGGAGGGCGACATAAGACAGCCCTCCTGTTCACTGTGCATAAGCCTGCTTCCCAAGAATTCGCAATAGCAGGACAGAGGGTCGTGCGCCGTATATAGCATCCGAGCAAAAGACAGCGAAGCACACCCAGTGGTGGTGCTGTGACAATGAATTCAGGCCCAGCTTCCCACCAAGGCAGGTCTCGCAAGGGCGGAGGCGCAATTTCCTGATCAACTGCACCTGGTGGTGGAAACCAACCTCAGGGGCAGGGGAAAGGCTCGGGAGGAGCAGGTGCCAAGCCGTGTAAGTTCTTTCTCTCCCGGAAGGGGTGTAGAAATGGCCCTAAGTGCAAATTCCCACATTCCATGACCGAGCTCTCTAAGGCTGAGCGGTTTAAAAAGTGTTTGGTGTGTGGCTCTGAGGAGCATCGTGCAAAGGATTGTCCCGTTGGCAAGGGCGCGAAGTCCGATGCCAAATCACCCGATAAGCCCACGGTGCAAAGGACCACAGCAGCAGCACAGGATGCAACATCACCATCAGCATCAACACCTCAAGCGCCAGTGCAGGCTACACCTATCGCGAATGGCATGCCCGTCACGCTCGAGTCCTTTATGCAACAGGCAGTCCAAGCTTTGAGGCAGCTCGAGGCCCAGCCACCGCGTAGCGATCCGCCTCAGCCTCAGCCGGAAGGCTTAAGTACTGCATCACAACAGTCCTCGGCACCTAATCCTTCGGTGAAGAGGCTCACGATTCGCTCCGTCATGCCCTCAAGTTGTTTCCCGGTTTCGGGCCCCCCAAACCGGGAAATTTTGAATTCTCCTGCCGTTGAGCCCGCTGTGGAGCCATCACCCGTTGCATCCCAACCACCTCTCATTGGCTACGCCCTTCTCGACTCCGGTGCCACTCACCCCATGCGACAAGCCTCATCTGAGGAGGAGTGGGAGACCGCAGAGGAAGTGCAAGTGAGTCTAGCCGGCGACCAAAGCACAATCATGCGTTTGACGCGCGCGGGCACTCTCCTACTGCCACCCGGAAGGGACGGCCTAGTGCAGCCAATTGTTCCCATGGGTGCTATCATAGAGCAGTTGGGGTATAAGCTGGTTTGGTCCGCCGGTAGTTGCAAGCTGTATCCTCCTGATGGTAAGTCGTTGAGGCTTAGGGTCAAAAATGGTTGCCCGGAATTGGTTGAGAGCCAAGCCCTTACGCTGATATCACGGTTGGAAGAGCACAAAATGCAACAGGTTGAGGAGCTCAGGCGAAGAACGGATGAGGGGAAGGATCGCATCAGACAGGCGAAAATCGCAATGGAGCGCACGTGGTGGGATCATTTGGTTGAGCATGTGAGCTCGTCGGCGCCGGCATCGGGCCACATGGCAGTGTCAACAGCTCCATTCTTTCAGGATGTGCCCGACCGTGCATTGTCAGGCATACTCCCATCGGAAGCTGTGGACTCCAAGACTTTGTGGAAAGCTCTTGAAGAAGGCATGCCAAACCTCAACCGGCGAAGGAGGAAGGCGCTTCATCGCGCATCCAATTGGGTTGTTCATTTGTTTGCGGGCCCTGGCTCGCACAAGGCTTTCAAACGATTGGAGTCGCAGGATACAGTTGTTGTTGAGCTTGACATTTGCCGCTCAAGGAGCCAGGTCACTTGGCTTGGCATCCCATGAGCACACGCTCCACGGCGATGAGGCGCCTGGTTGGAATCAATATAAGGCACAGTACTCAACCCTAGCACGGAAAGCCAAAGCTTTTTTGGCGTGGGCGGGCCTCAAAGACAGCAGTTGCTGCACTCGGTCCCAGTAAGAACTACAAGAATAACAATAAAGAAGCTGTACAAGAAGAATCAAGTTAAGAGGGTGAAACCGGCCACGACTTGCAGACTTAGCCAGCAGGGATCGTTCGGCCAAAAATGCGTACAGCCCATCTTCACTCACTCAGATGCCTCGCTTCCCAATGATTGAGCCGCGCAATGGCACACTTGAATATCAGAATGGGCAGCAAAGGACGGCCCCAAAGGCTCACTGTGTACTCGGCACGTCCCCGGAGGAGGCACGCAATGACAAGAGTGGCCATGGCGTAGCATACAGTGTACAAGCATCCATAAAGCAACATGTCCCAGCGACGGGTGCTTTAGAAAATTAAATGGCCCAGCTTCCCAATATGGTGGGTCTCGCAAGGGCAGACGCACTTCGCACCAGGAAGCATGCAAGCTGCATTGTACACGCCATGCTGGACATCGGCTGCATGCTAGCACGGGAACATAGGCTGCCAGTCCTTTTGGTGCTCTTGACTGAGCTTTCCAAGGAGAGCAAGCACGCCAAAAAGGTGAGACACTGGGTTTGAGTCGCCCAGGACACAGTGTGCCGATGCTGCCATCCGGCAAACACAAGCACTTTAATCCAAGCCCAGCTTCCCACCATGGTGTGCCCTTGCAAGGGCAGCACAATACGATCGCAATGCAGCTAGCAATGCAGCTTGGTACATGCCATGCTGGCCAACCAGCCGCGTCTTGGCACCACGCGTACCGCAGACCCAGCTTCCCTCACGCGGGTATCGCAAGAGCCAAGGATAGCAGGTGGGGGCACAGAGCCTCCCCAGAGAAGAGAAATGGCTCCGATCATTGCAAAATTGCCTACGGCCAGCTTTCCACCATGGTGGGCCTCGCAAGCAAGGGCAAGAGCTAGTCGAAGCAAGAAGATTCAATGTAGTGTGGATGCAAACCAGCAGCGGAGATCGCAGACGCGTAAGAAGATCGTCCAACAGCTCCATGGAGAAGTAAGGCAAGTTCTCTCAGCCCAAGCCATTCCACCGCCCAGGGCTGCATGTCAATTAGAGCAGACTGGATGGTCTTAGCGTAAAGCCCAAGGAACGTCCGATAGGCAAGGTGGAACGCCGAAGCCAGCACCACTCAAGATCGATTGGGACAATGGTGGCGCGCACTTGAAAGCCAAGCCGTACGATCAATTGGAAATCGGTCGCGACTCGAAGCCATGGAGAGAGCACTGCGCCAAGCCTGCAGAGACACGGCTATGATACTCTGCAAACTGCTGCCGAAAAGCGAGGCCCGCTGCCTTTCGATGGCAAAGGAGGCAAAGCACAGTCGAGCTGGACGGACAAACACGGAAGAAGTATGCTGTCCAAACATGCGGAGTGCACGCTCTGTCCGCGTCACAGATCTAAGCAAAGTGAACCACATTACTGCAATTGTGTAGAAGCCAGATTCTAAGTAACACCCAGGAGGAGATCAGGTTCTGCCTCTTTTTTGAGGTTGAGGATTTTGTCAGGGCCGACAGTCTTGCTGATGCACAGGCCTGAAAACCTCCGTCCAGGGCTTCTCTACCCTGCCACACTTTCGACGAGCTTTATGAGCCCATTTTCGGGGTCCGGAAAACAACAAAAAACGTAGAACACATCAGAGTACCCCCACAGTAGCACCGCTTGTCGATGCTGCGACGCAAAAGTCGTAGCCCGGAGGTTCCCGCCTCAATTAGCACCTCCTATACGGGTTTCAGATCATGCCTGGAGGTCCAAGACAATGACGGAGCAGGACGCTAGGGACTCCAAGCATGTTCCCAAAGGCAAACCTGGCCTAGCTTCCAATTGTTGAGCTCAAGTGTCTGCAGTATGCAGGTCCAAGAGTCGCAGACGGCCGCTGGTCGAACGAAGTGTTGGCAAATGGGCTGTCTGAGCTGCAGACGCGATAAAGCTCCGCGCATGACGTTGCCGAGTTATCACGGTGGAGTGCCCTTCGGATCGCCGCGAATGTGGCATTCCTGCTACACAAGCTGTGGCCAAATCTGCAGCAAAAAGCACATAGCAGGCATTATGAGCGAGAAGACAACTGTGCACGGTACAGATCTCTTTCCAGGTGCAGTCAGCCACTTTCCAGGGCAGCCAGCGAGCACCACATAAGGAGGGCACACAGAGCTGACATCACAACAACCGGAGCGAGATATTACTTTCTGATGTCCCAGCAGAATTTTATCTGTTTGCAAGCATAAATTTCGATGCAAATTGTAAAACTTACAAACCCTGAACAACCCGTCAAGGTCTGCACAGACTTTTGCTCGCGCAACAAACGAAGTGTTCAGCTGTTCTTGCACTGCACTGCTGTCACCTAAAGCTTTAAGCTTTGCTTTCTGCTTTCATGGGCCTCAGAACAAGTTTCATCACTGGCCCATTCTCAACGAGCTTCAGTCTCAAAGCTTTCCAGCCTTGAGCCACACATAAGCGCGGCTTTCCAGATTCACATGTGCTTCAGCACATGACCAAAACAAAACTTCGCTTCAAAAGCATGCCGTCACAGCTTCCCTACAAGCTCCACGCTGGCAAACAAACTCGCATACCCTACAGCTGTTCGAGAAGGTACCTTGAGGCCTTCGAGAACTCATGCGGACTCTAATCAAACTAACGGCTCACAGCATTCACTCAGCTCACTCAAAAGCTCAAGCAACTCATGCCACATGTCGAAAACTGTTCTCGCAGCTGAAAACCAAGGTTCCATGCCATGAAAACCGCAGCTCCCAGTGAAAATCTTCCAGTGCTTTGAGAAAACCTCTGCAAAACCAAAACCATGCAGAATATATCCAGATAACCATTGCACCTCAGAAAATTCCAGGAATCGCAGGAAAATTGGCTTGCTCCCAAACTGCAGTCAGCAGCCTGATGATATACATATCGCAGCCCATCACACTGAGCGGCTCCACCACTCAACAGGCAGCTCAGAGGTACAACTTTTCACACCCCCTTTCGATGTGTGTATCATCTCTCATCCTTGCTGCTGTCCAAAACAAGCACTTCTCGACACCAAGCACACATTGAAACATTGCCAACCATGTAGCCACGCTGCAACCCATGCGAAGCGACGAAGACATAGGTATTGGAAAAAATCTCGCGCCAGATAGCCAGCTCTTCTCTCATGCCAGACAGGACGTCACCCAAAGCGAAGCCTAACAGACTTCTAACAGTGAACATACACATAGGCATCCTTGAGAATACCAGCTCTCACCGCTCATACATGTACCCATGCTCCTTCCGCAATCCCAGCGAGGATTTTACTCCTCCGCCAACTTGCGCTGGAATCCCTTCTGCTTTGAAAAACCAATCCTCATCAAATACCCCGCAAGGTCCGAGGACTGACTGGAGGAGGTCGTCGGATCATAATTGCGACCAAATTTCTCCTTGATCCAATTGAGGTAGCTTGCAAGGTCGCTATCCTCCTTGGCAAGCTTGACCAAGGTCGCATAGGACTTCTTAAACCACATCTTATTCTTCTGGACCTTTGGCAGATCGCAGATTGTCCGACCCCAATCCTCCATAGATAGATTACTTGGAAGTGGCACCGAGGTGACCTCAGTACCTGCATAGCTCACGACAATCACATTGTCGCTATCCCCAAACTCTTCCCCCTCGAATGCATCGACGAGGTCTTCATAACACTTGGGAGTGCTCACAGCACCCTTTGCGCTTCCCTTTGAAATCGGCAGCTGGGCACCGCAAGCAGATCCTGATGCAGTAGACCCATCCTCTGGATATCCACCCACATCTCTGAGACGCTTGGTCCCATCAGTCATAGAAGTATTGGCAGTCGAAGCCAAGCCATCTGCAGAATCCATCTTATCCAGCAAACGGCGCAGCTCCCTGCGCTCATCGGTCGTGAGAACCATGGCAGCACGAGTTCGCACCTAGGTTTCACACGCAAAACAACTAGCACCAGTACGGAGCTTTGTCTGCAGACCTCAACGTCCGCAAAGAAACCGGCGTCAAGAGGAGAATCCGAACCCATCCAACAGCCCGGCCCAAACCCCCAAAAGCATCACTGCAACGTTTTGATCGCACCTCGAACAATCGCATCAGCGAGTTTCGGAGTGTAAAAACCTGTTTCGGTCCACCCAACTTGCCACAGACTTGCATGCTTAGCACACCTGCAGCTGGAAAAACACTTCAGGGCAGACACAAACTTTTCAGAAGTCGAAGTAAAACCCAAGACTTTGCCTATAGGCTCACCCCCTTTCGAACAAAGACCAGTCATGCACAACCTCACCGGCACATCGAACGTGTGGCCTGCCTTCTTCAGCACCTTCTGGCACAAGTCATGTTGCCAAATCTCATTGTTCCATGGCAGCTCAAAGCTCGAGTGCTTCCCAAGCTTCAAGTACTTCAACACACAAGGAAACACCTCAAACCATTCCCAATCCGACTTCGACGAGTTCCCGCCAGAGAACCGACGCAAGTAAGATCCAGAAGAGCAAGGCGTGGACACATGCACAAACACGCAGTCACACGCAAAGTTCAGAAGATATCGACGCACCTCTTTGAACACGCTGTCACTCTGCATGTTCTCAGTCACGCCAACGTAACTCATCCCGACTCTGCGACATGCACCTTGAACACTCGACTGCGGTCGACAGCACACTTCAACCATCACCAATCTCTTCTCATGATTGCACAAAGACGCAAGTGGTCCCGACAGCGACTCAAAGCCCAACGCTTCGCGATGTATCCCGAAAGCCGAGGACCCCAAACATTTAGTCAAGAGGTCTGACGGATTTTCGATTCCCTTCTTAAACGCAAGGACCAAAGAACCCGCTGCGACACGAGCTTTAAGCCACTCGACTCTTATCTCAAGATGTCTGCTTTGTCTGGGTGTGTCCAAATTGCGAAGAAGCTTCAAAGCGCTTTCTGAGTCACTGTAAAGTATCCCAGGCAATTCAACTTCCTCGCTTTCTCGAAACGACATGAAGACCCTTGCCATGAACTTTCCAAGACTCGACATTTCTTGAGCAACCGACTGCAACGCAAACAGCTCTGACTCCATAGACGACAGCGACACAAGCTGTTGGTGACGACACAAAGTCTTTATCACGCAGCCATCAAGTGTCAACACTCCTCCACTGATGCCACGGCGCTTCGTGCACCTCAAAGGCGCATGCGATGCGTCAGAGAAACACACAAGGTGCCTCTTTCCTTGGTAGTGTTGCGAGGGAGCCAACACATCACTCGCAGCAGGCAACCGCACAACCACGCACATGTCGTTCTTCAGAAATCGAAGCAAGGCTCGGAGACCATGCTCAGTATGATTCGTGGGTGTGGCTTGCTGCGTTGCCAAGATTGACACATAAGCACGCAAGTCCTGACGAGTCTGCGTCATCCAAGCTACTTTCCCCAACGCAGACCTGAACCTGGCATACGCCTCAGGAGACAATGGAACCCCATCTTGCTTCTCAACATGAACCGCAACATCTGGAGGACTTGAGGAACCTTTTCCCGAAAGACCATAAGCCTTGAAGGTCTCATCCAAATAATCTTCTGGCAAAGACACTGTGATAGAGGACTCCCCCTTTCTCCTGGAGATAACCCTACCAATAAACCGCAAAGTGCCACCGCCATCCTTGGAAGAATTGATCAACCCGGTTCTCTTGAGTTCAACTTTCTTCTCAATCACCTCAAAGATGTGATCTGCATCCTCCTTTGTTGGCGCAATGCACAGAAAATCATCCACATAGACCAACAGCAAACAGGGACCTGACTCAAGCATGCCTGAAAACAGACACGGCTCTAAGCTGCAACTTTGAAGCCCCAAAACCTTCACAGTCTCCCCTACGAAGTAGATCCATTCTTGCGAAGCCTTGCGTAGCCCATTGAGGGCTTTGTTGAGGTGAAGATACAAAGGTTCCCCTGTCACCGAAGACACTGACAGAGGAAACCTCATCACCACATCCCTTTCTCTCAAAGGCGTAGCCATGAAAGCGTGAGATACATCAGCACCTGCAATCACGCAATCTCTGCAACCTGCAACCCCAAGAACCGTGAACAAAGCATCGGCACTAGGAGTAGGACTCGAGATGCCCAAAGCCCTTGCAGACTCTGAGTTCTTGCCAGCAATATCCTTGATGACAATCCTAGCTCGCACTGTAGTTGGTGTTTTCTGCGTCGTGACCCAACGACTAGGGATGACCTTCAAGGTACCTGGGAACCTCTTCTCAAGACTCTGAAGTTAAACAACACTCGTAGAGTTCGGGGCGAACTGAACCGAATCCACAAGCCCTGAAAGCAAAGGGACATAATTGGAAACCTGGAACGCCTGCTCAACAAAACTCGCAAGAGGCATGTGAACATCATTCCCTGTTTCGCAATTGTGGAAGGTAACCATAACTGAAGCAACCCTTTCTTGGTCCTGCCTGATCTCACGCTCCAGATCTTCCAACGGGACTTCAGAGGAGCGTTTCACAGCACTGCTTCCACGAAGCACTTCTTCAGCCTCTAGGCTGCCTCCGCCTTCACTTCCAGTCAACACTGGATCGGCAAACGGCATCTCAGTGTCCTCATCAAGAGCCCCAATGCCCTCAGACTCAGGAGCAGCAGCTCCTTCAAGATTGTCAGGCAGACGCCTGGATGAAGCTTCGTCATCATCGGGCTCCCCAGAAACAGAAAATCTAACACTGAGACGTTGGTTCCTTCGCTTGCAATCAGCATTGTGACGAATGCCAGGAGCATTCATGCCAGACTCGCACGCAGGACAACCACGCGTGAAAACACGACCACTGGGGGCCGCCTCGCTCACAATCCTCGCTGGAGCCTCAGACGAAGCAGCGTCCCCATTGGCCGGGGGAGGCAAAGGAGAACCCTGAGCCTCCTCCACAGCTCGGTCTTGCCTCGACTCATCCTCGGCTAGCTCAGAAAGAGCTTCACGCATAGCCTCTGCATCCGAAGCCACAGGCACTTCAACGTCCATGCTGTCATCTGTTGCAACTTGCGACCGCAACCACGCTTCATATCTCAAACAGCAAGCCCGACCGTGAGAAGAGCCCTTCCTAGACCCAAATTGTGCCATGTTAGAACACGCTCGGCACTCACCTGAGAACCCATACCTCTCAAAAAACTCCTTTGGCGGACCGGAAACAGGACACTTCAAAGAGGCACCCTGGGAACTCGGAAGAATTCGAGGCGCAACTGGATGATCTGGCCTCTCAGGACCAAGCTCACCACGACGACGCAAAACTTCAAACATCCCCGACTCGAAGACAAGCTCAATCGGAAACACAAGCTTGATCGACTTGGCAACAAACACCTTTGGCGTCAAGACCTGGCCCACACGCACATGCGCATACACCAAGCTCCCAAGCGACCCAAATTGCGGGTGAAGAAAAGCTGCCGCCTCAAAACGCGACATATTCGGGCACAAAGCCTTCACAGACTCAGGGACCTCAGCAAGCACCTTGGACCCAAACAACGCAAAAGGGGTATCTGGCAACCTTCGACCAACTGCAACCTCCTTTGGAGAGCGTTCACCGCCAAAAGCTTTGCCATTCGAATTCACACTCATGCACAGGTAAGAAAGTGCAAGCTGCAACAAGTCTCTCCGAAACGACAAAACGCAACCAAGCGACTGAAAATCACTTTGCAGAGTAGCTAGCCCTTCTTTAAGGACCCGGACTGTCCTTTCCGCACCACCAAGCTGTTCATGAGCTTGTGGCGCAGCCTTGCGCACCATAAAGATGTACTTATCCGACGCACCTGCAACAAACGACTTCACCGCTTCTTCGGAATCTGTCAAAAGCACAATGCTTGCCTGTGAGGACGACAACCCAAACTCAGCAAGCCACTTCAAAAGAAGACCTCTGTCCTTTGCAATGTTCTCAGTTATCATCACAGCCCCAATAGAAGAAGAAAAGGCCTCACGAAGGACGAGGACCTTGAAAGAGCTACTTGTCTGGCGCTCAGCTACGCTGATCGTCTCTCCAGAAGAGTCGAGAAACATAAAATCTGCAACAATCTCTGTTTCCACTCCGCGCTCAGACTTTCGCCTGTGTTGGGTAACACCTCGGGACTTCAGACAATGCTCGCAATCAGGATGGAAGGGCATGTGGCCCTTTGCTCTGTGAATTTCAAGATCTTCCTTGGTCTTCTGCGAAACAACTGCAACATGTCCAATCGAGGAAATTGGAGCAGGATCAACTGAGGCATCCGACGGCAACAAGAGATCACCTTCTGAATGAGGAATCACGCGGATCCAAGGCGTGTCACACCAAATACAGGTATCAATCATATCAACACCCGACTTCACATGACACACAGAAACGCCTTCATCCAAGACAACACGCCAACCATGCCTTCCAAGAGTTCGCGTTGACAGGATATTGTAAGGAGTGTCACCCACCATCACAGGAATCTTGCAGACACCATTCTTGGTAGCTCCACTTGAATCCTTTGTGCGAACCTTTAGCACAACATGGCAACGACCATCAAAGGGAACAGGAGTCCCATTCGCAGCCATAAACGTCGAACCACATGCAGTCAACTCATCATGCGGAAGCGTCTTCAACGTCACATGGTTGATAACACAGCATGACGCACCTGAGTCAAGCAGCCAAAACTCACTTCCAAGCGACTGACCCAACGACTGCAACAAAGGTTGACACAACTGCTCTTGGAGCACAACAGACACCGACTCGCTGTCTTCAAGGACAGCTTCAAAACGCGTATTGGGCTCATCAGTTAACTCAATGACACAAGATAACACAAGAGTGGAGTCCACCTGCTGTGCTTCTTGCTCATCACCTTCTTCGGTGTAAAAAGATTCATCAGCATCTGTGTACCACCAAACCCCTGTCTCCTCATCAAACAGAGCAAACATTTTTCCTTTCTTTCCTCCTTTTCCTTTGCTCTTGCCTTTAGGCGAAAAAGAAACTTGACCCTTGGCCGCAGCAGCACCTTTGCCATCAGAACCCTTAGGTCTCGCACTCGACTGAGAAACATCACCCTGCTTGCCCTTGGCACAGTTCAAAGATATGTGGCCCATCTCTCCGCACTTGAAGCACTTAACCTTGGAAAGGTCTGCCGTGCACTGATTCACTTGATGCCCCTTCTTGCCACAACGGTTGCACTTCACACCGCTCCCAGCATCAGAAGGCCTAGCACTCATGCCAAAGACGTGACCATCCATTCCCTCACCTGCCTCAGGCGAACCTGCGCTCTCAGAAAACTCGGTTTCATGCAAGCCAAACAAACCTTTGGCCCCTTGCAACTCAAGAAACAAACGCTGCTGATGTTCCCATCGCAAAGCTGAAGATCGATATGAGGCATATGTCTCACCCTGCGAATGATGTAACGTATACGCCTTTGCGCTCTCAGGCAAAGACCTCATCAAAAGCGTAAGCTGATCACTGTCAGTCAAAGCAAACCCAGCAGCATCTCTAGGATCTAGCGTCGAAAGTAAACGCACAAACCTTGCCACTGCCACCTCAATCTGACGCACTGTGTCAGCAACTGGAGCTGACGAGTCTTGCGCTCGAAACGTTCTTGCCATCAGCATCGCCCTGAGACTCATAGCCTCAGCACGACTTCTCAAAGAAAACTCCTTGGCAAGCTGCCTAAGCAACTCAAAACCATTACCCATATACGAAAGAGAGTTCCCGAAAACATCTCCCTGCATGGCGACTGCAACAATGTCAAGCCCTTCTCCGAAGCTTTGGATCATAAGAGTTATCCGCCCATGATCTGCAAACGCTGCCTTCAGCACACTAAACAAACGAACTCCTCGCGCTTGTTGACTCTTAGACAACGTGTTCCATGCAATCTGTGTAGGCCATCGCGCGGCCTGAGCGATCTCCTTTCCAAACTCAACACTTGCTTGATTCGCCCATGCAACCAACTCGTGAATATAGGCATTCATGCCCAGCACTTCAGATTCACGCCCTTTCCACGCTTGATGATTTGGCGAAGGTGGAGACCCTAGCCACTTCTCACTGCGACTAAAGACGTCTTTGTCTTCACTGCTCCTCGCATTTTCAGCTGGAACACCAGGTAACGTGTTACCTTGATGTCTCACAAAAGCTGGCACATTCAAATCAGGTGGCGACTGCCCCAATCTTTCAGGAACGAACTGTCCACTCACAGGGACATTCAGTCTTTGGCTAAGATCTGCATACAAGGACTGCAACTCACGCGCATTCATGCGATCAAGCAGCTGTCTCCCTGCACTAGCATTATCTCCAGAAACCTGACTGCAACATCCTTGACTCGGAACTGTCGAAAGATTCCTCGCAGGACCCGAAGGCACTGACAAACCTGGAGCTGGCGCCACTGGCCTAATACCAGCACATGCACTCGCAACTGAAGACGTACCGCTCGAAGGTGGACACGGCATGTTAACATGAGACTCCACAGGTCCCATTCCAGCACGCATACGACTTCCGTACAACGCCCAGGGATCTCTCTGAACACCTGTAAACCATGGATCGCCTGACCCAACACCACTCACACCTTCCACACCTGTTTGCCTCCTTTCCTGTTGCCCACACCCAGCTGTACCACACCCATACTCCCCTCCAGCCTCAGCAAGACCTGGACTACACGGAGCTGGCGCCTCAGCACTTGGACCTATAGGCCTTTGAGACATAACACCTTCTTTGGGTCGGCGGAAATGGTGTGGGAGCACAAACAGCGCTCCGCTACCATGTAAAACTTACAAACCCTGAACAACCCGTCAAGGTCTGCACAGACTTTTGCTCGCGCAACAAACGAAGTGTTCAGCTGTTCTTGCACTGCACTGCTGTCACCTAAAGCTTTAAGCTTTGCTTTCTGCTTTCATGGGCCTCAGAACAAGTTTCATCACTGGCCCATTCTCAACGAGCTTCAGTCTCAAAGCTTTCCAGCCTTGAGCCACACATAAGCGCGGCTTTCCAGATTCACATGTGCTTCAGCACATGACCAAAACAAAACTTCGCTTCAAAAGCATGCCGTCACAGCTTCCCTACAAGCTCCACGCTGGCAAACAAACTCGCATACCCTACAGCTGTTCGAGAAGGTACCTTGAGGCCTTCGAGAACTCATGCGGACTCTAATCAAACTAACGGCTCACAGCATTCACTCAGCTCACTCAAAAGCTCAAGCAACTCATGCCACATGTCGAAAACTGTTCTCGCAGCTGAAAACCAAGGTTCCATGCCATGAAAACCGCAGCTCCCAGTGAAAATCTTCCAGTGCTTTGAGAAAACCTCTGCAAAACCAAAACCATGCAGAATATATCCAGATAACCATTACACCTCAGAAAATTCCAGGAATCGCAGGAAAATTGGCTTGCTCCCAAACTGCAGTCAGCAGCCTGATGATATACATCGCAGCCCATCACACTGAGCGGCTCCACCACTCAACAGGCAGCTCAGAGGTACAACTTTTCACACAAATCGATTGTGCGTGGATTGCAACATGGTGTGTGTCAATCGTCCAACAGCCACAAATGCGGCATCTCCATTAGAGAAGCTGAGCCGACTGTAGCCCAAAGCTGCAGTAAAAGGCGCAGTGGTGGAGTTATGGAGCACGGGCAAGTTAGATGTCAAAGAGTTGGGTAGTCTGACTCTCGATAAAGATTTTTCAGTGTTGCTCATGATGATGTGTCAAAAATGCGGCCCTCGCAGCACGTCGCGGACGCGGAAGCGAGGTTGATGCCGCCGTTATGATGTTGGGCCACAGACTTGCTTCCTGTCTGCGTAGCAAGAGAGCACTCGGAGCTATTGCCACAGTTATATTCCTGGCCTACGTTGGGAGGAAGTTCCCCTCCTCTCCTGGTCCATTGCTGAGAGACTGCCGGTGGCCATGCTCGTCATGAATGATGTTGCAACTAGATGTCAAAGGATGCCTCTCTCTCTTTTATGCCCTCTGACGAGGCGATGAGGAAGTGGATTCCATAAGGCGCAGAGACTCGGTGGGCGACAATGGTGGCTTCATGCTGCGAGGCCTCCGATGGACCTTCTCAGTCGTGCCAGGGGGCCACAGTAGCAGTCGAGCCACCTCTTATTTGTGCAGTGGCGACACGGGACAGCCCCGACATATTGACTGAATGGCCGGACACCGCGAAGGGGTTCGCGCTTACTCTTGAGGCGGCGATTCTGGCGACAGACTGGACTAGGCGTACCCCAAAGTCCTTCTGGAACCATGGCCGCACTGGCCAGTTCCCTCCTTCGTGTGGCCTTCCTGTGTGGCACCTCTTGCTACCTAGCTCCATTGCGCGGCAGGATTGGCCTGGACTTTTCCTGCTAGTCGCATGGATACAGAGTCGACTGTCCCCAATCGCTCAAGTCTGACGCATCCACGGAGTCGGAAAAAAGTGGATTTGTGTTCATGTCCATGGCCACTGTGACAAATCCTCCCTTTTCGGCTCTGGTCCAGGCGGTGCTTCATTCGAGGCTACCGCGGCCCGTGGCCTTACGTAGTCCCCAACGCTGTGTGGAGATACACACGTGGGCGTTGCTGGTGGCGTGCAGCCCATTTCAGGAGCCATGGACAATCCAGGCGGATGTCTCTTCGTGGAAGTACATGAAGATGCGGGTTTCTATTGCATTGATGCGCTTTGAGGCGTAACGGCTTGGGCGAAGGCTTGAAACATGGACGCTCAATTGGAGGCTGGTTGGCGCTCGCATTAGTGCACTTTTTGCTTGCAGCACTCTCGCTGAGCACTCCAAGTGGCGACCAGACCCCATGCCGGCCACTGGCTTTCAGCCATTGCTGCTAGCTGCGGCTCGTCGGTTGGACGAGGCGGTGGCAAACCTTGTGGCTCACCGCGCGGACCCTCGGCAGCGGCCAAGAGAGGGCACCCTACGAGGTATCTCGGCTTAGGATCTTGCAGTTCAATGGCACATGGAGTATGCCCAGGGTGCCTTCCAGGCGGGAGGAGCGGTCTGTGATGATGTCCTGGCAGCAGTACGAGCTTCAGGAATATCTTCGTCTCCCCTTGTTGGGCCTGACGTCCTTCCATTAGAGGATGGCTCGGGGGTGTGTCGGCGGCATTCGCTGCCAATGGAGGTTGCCCGGGACACGGAGACGGCACGGGGCTTGCAGCTCAGAGAACTACTACTGGATCGCAAATATGACATTGCGTTGGAAGTGGCTATGTCGTTTCCGAGCGTTATGAGCTCCTCCACTCACTGTTGGAGCGCCGCCATCGCCGATGCACTGGGCCATTCGCAATGATGTTTGCGCGGTGCACACCTTGCTTCGAGCGAGAGCGAGTTCCAATGGAGTTCTTGGCCTGGGCACCCCTTTGATCTATGCCATTGCTAAGTCCTCTGATGTGGCAGTGCAGCTCTTACTGGGTGCAGCTGCGTGTCCCAACATGATGAGCCACTATGGGCAGGCCCAGTTACAAACACCATTGCACGTTGCCACCATGGTTGGGTCGCCCCATACGGTACGGCTGCTCTGGCTGCCTACGCCGACCCTGGCTTGAGCACTCCCTCCCTTGCCGCGCTCATGCAGCTGGCCTATCAGCGCACTGACCCAGCCGCATTTGCCGGCTGTCTTCGCCCACTCAGCGCGGAGTCGGCTCTCTAGGCAGGAGAGGCAGGAACTCGCGACAGTCCTACTCCCCCCGCTTCTTGCGCAAGGGAACTGGACGGGCCTACTGTGCCTTCGGATGCTGTGCACCCACTGATGCTGAGGCCTAAATGCAGCGCGCATTGCACGGAGGTGGCAGCTGTGATGACGCTTTCGCGCCGCCTTTTGGTCCCAGGCCCTAGGGCCTAGGGCCGCTTAGGGTATAGGGCCTGCTGAGGGCAATTCTGCCCGTCGGCACGGCCACGACTCGGCGTGGAGGAACCGCTCGGTAAGAGAGGATGCTGAGGCCTAAATGCAGCGCATTGCACGGGGGCGGGAGCTTTGCTAACACTTTCTCGCCCCTTTTCGGCTCCAGGCCCTAGGGCCGCTTGAGATATAGGGCCTGCTGAGGGCAATTCTGCCCGTCGGCACGGCCACGAATAAGCATGGAAGAACCGCTCGGTAATGAGGGCGCGCGCCAGCACGTCTGTGCGATCACATGCGGTCCGCGTGCTCCCTGCCAACATATATGGGTTATAGGGCCGCTCGCAGCTGTCGGGCAAGAGGGCATCGCGAAGCGCACTGATTTGCCGCTCCTGCTGGCACCTGAGGTGATGCGGGACGATATGCACTTCCCAGCGGCAACGGTCCGCCAGCAGGCTTCTGCGGTGCTGTGCTGGCCGGAAAGCCATATTTTTCTGGTACGCCCAGGGAGTGCTGCGCCCACGGGGCTGGCCTTCGAGATGATGCGCTGGTTGACCTTGGTGAGGTCTTACAGGCACACTGTCTGGAGTGGCTAGGCTCTCCGGAATTTGGGCACATCCTACAAGCTGCCCTCAGTGCCTCGAACTTTAAGTTGGTTGCCTATGCATGGTCTTTCGAGCCGGGGCTTCGCGCGGGCAATGACCTCTGGGACGTGCAGCTCTGCTACGGCTACGGTCTTTCCGCCTACGCAGTCAGATTGTCTAGCCTGGTGCTCCCGCCTCATGGACTCGGGTCTGCTTCAGCGTATCGCCGCTCGCTTGGTGTCCGGCTCCAAATCTGACCCCCTCTCTGTGGCTGAGCTGCAGCCCTTCTTGGACGACTTGCGATCTTTCCTTCATGTGACTTCCGACTCTACTTGGTCGGCTCTTCTTTCCATCCATGAGGGCCAGCCCTTTCGTCTCAACTTGTGGCATTTTCTTTCACTTCTTTGCTCCGATCCGGATGCGGAAGGCCTTCCGCTGGGCATTGGAGTTCCCATCCCCCCCTGTCCCGTCATGCACCCACCGGCGTCTCCTGACGAGGTCCGTCTTCCGTTGGTGCACTGGGAATCGTCCTGGAAGTCCACTTTGGACCACTCCGATGAGGTGGACCGTCTTCTGGCTGAAGAATTAGAAGCCGGTTGGATCCAGGAGGTTCCGGGGGGCGATGCTGAGCTACGCCAGCGTTATGCCCGCACCGCTGTCGGTAACTAGGTGTTGTCTTGGCCACGGGCCGTCCGCCAAGGCTGGTCGTCGATTCCTCCGTGTCCGGCGCCACATCCAACACTCATCTCCCCAATCGCTCTGCGAACCCTTCTCTCATGGATGTCCGGCTATTCCGTACCGGTTTCCGACTCGCGTTGCCAACTCGTTGCTCTTAGCGGTCTTCTTTGCTTCCGTCACGCCGGTCGCTTGTTCCAATGCATCACCCTCAACTTTGGCGCGCGGGTTAGCAGTTTTTACTGGGCGCGTTGTGCCGGCCTGCTCATGCGCCTGCTCCGCCGGCTTCTACGCGTCCGGCACTCGTCGTGGATTTATGTCGATGACATTCTCGCTCTCTTTGACCGCGTCTCCGCCCCACTTTGGGCTTCCGTGGTCGTGGTTCTTCTTTTATGCCTCAAGATTCCGATGAGCTGGCGCAAGGGGATGTTGGCCCCGTCCGTGTTGTGGATCGGATGGCAGATGGACTTTGACGGTTTCACCGTCCGTCTGGACCCTGCCAAGTTGTCTCGTCTGGTGGAACTTGCCATGCTGCTTCTCCAATCGCGGGACTGCTTTGTCCGCGACTTGGAGCGCCTCACCGGCAAGCTGCTTTGGCTCTCCTCCCTTTTCCGTTGCTTCCGCCCTTCTTTGGCTCCGCTCTACGCGGATCAGCGCTCTTTCACACCGGTCCTCACGGCGGTCTCCCCCGACAAATGGTAGTCGTTGGTCGACGCCGTTGACTCCAACCTGCTTGTCACTCGGTCCGTGGGCATTGCTGCGATCCCACCTGGCTCCAGGTTGCTTCGGGTAGGCCAAAAGCCGGTTTCTATCCGCAAAGACATCCTTGGCGTCGTGCCCCTCCAGCGCCGGTTGTGGGTTCAATCGTCTAGTCCCTCCCGCTCCACATGCCGCCTTTCCGATTCGTCCTGTGAGGTCATCCGCTTGTGGTTGGACTTAGCCAAGTCTGGTTCCGACATTCGTTCACTCATACTCCCGCCCCGCTTCGAGTGCACGGCGTTTGCTGATGCATGTGCCGACGACGCTTCCGTGGGCATGGGAGGTTTTGTCCGTCTGCAGGACCAGCGGCAGTTGTTCTTTCAGATTACCCTCGGTAAGCCTGACATGCTCCGGCTGTTTCCTTGGCTTCCCTCCGACTGCTCCCTGCAGTCTTTTATAGCCACTTGGGAGCTCGCCGCACAAGCTGCTTTGCTGCTCTTGCTTCACCGTCTTTTGGGGGAGGGACACCTCCCTTGCCATACCGTTTTCCGATGCGACAACTCAGCTGCCGAGTCTGCACCAGGAAGGGCCTCACGATGGCTGTCGGGTTGTGCTCCGTGCTCCGTTCCTTCTTTATCCTGCAGGAACGCCTGCGCATCTCCGCACACGTGGACCATGTCCCCGGCGTGTCTAATGAAGTTGCGGATGGACTCAGCCGTGGCGTGGACTCTGCCGACTTCAATTTCCGTCCGTGCGAACGTTTCGGAATTGAGTGGAGCGTCATATCCTCCGTCTCCCCAATGCAGTTCCACCCGTCTTTTGAACCTTTTCGGGGTTTCTTTGCCGTCTGATGTTCGGGGTCTTGCCTTGCTTGAGGGTCTTTTGGGGCGGTTCCCCTGTCGGGTCAAGCGTACGGCTCGAGTCACGTTGGTTCGACCGCCGCCAAAAGGACTGCTACTGGACCGGAGATCCGTTTCCGTCCAACCGAGGTGCGTCTCACCGGACCTCCGGACTTCAGGCATCCGACCGAGTGCTGCGAGTGTTTCCATAGTCACATAAGGGTGACGGACTAGTCCGACCGAACGTTACCGAGCGAGATCGGATATGTTTGGAATAGGACGCAACGGCAACCGTCCGCTGCAGCCGTTGGCTCGCAGTCGGGCGGTTGCACTTTGACTTGCCCGCCGCCGTCCCCTGCTGGCCCTGCTCCTCCTTGAGGTCAGCACTTCGGCCGGCCGGTGCTCTCCGTCCGTCCTGGCTTTCCGCTCTTCGCTCCGGTTTCCGTTCTCTTGTCCGTTTTCCGTTTCTCACACTCTCTGTTTCACCTTTTCCTTTTGCGGCTGGTTCGACCGCCGCCAAAAGGACCGCTACTGGACCGGAGATCCGTTTCGGTCCAACCCAGGTGCGTCTCACCGGACCTCCGGACTTCAGGCGTCCGACGGAAAGAAGGAACACTGTCCGAGTGCTGCGAGTGTTTCCATAGTCACATAAGGGTAACGGACTAGTCCGACCGAACATGCAGAGGTACTTGCCAGAGTCCAAAGTCGAAGTTGGAGAACACTCCAAGTCTGTGGCTTGGCGATAGGCAGAAAAAGTGTTATACTGGCATAGGTTGCACGTTGGTTGTTTGTGTCGAATTCACATTTCTGCAGATGCTTCGTGCTGGAATTGATAGTTGCGCAATTCAAACATTTTTTGAGCGTCAGCAGATGTTTTTATGCCTTTTCGAGCGGTTGAATGACAGTCTGGTCATTGGTGTGTTGGAAAAGACGGTGAGCTTGACGCTTTTCGGTCTTCAAAGTTCCAATCTGGTGTGGCTGGCACGCTTCCCTTGCCGCATTACGCAGGCTGGTCCCGGGAGGCGGTTCCATCTCTGCACATGCGACAAACATGAGCCTTTTGAAGTTGGTCTATCGTGCGAGGCGCCGCCGCGCCCGACGCTTTGCACGGTTCTTATTACTTCCACCATCTGACAACCTTTGCTTGCATGCCGGAGCTTGGAGTTGGATCCTCCCTTGACCGGATGGTGCCAACTCTGCTCTCGACCGGCTGCTGAGCCAGACCGCAGGTGTTTCCAGACTGAACGGCATCAGTCGGCCAAGTCAACAGCCGCTCCAACCTTGTACCCCCGCTTGACTTTCCCGTTTCACCCCCTTTGCATGTGTTTGTGGTTTCGTGCTTTGTTTAGTAAGGGTTTGAGCAGCTGTCGACAAGCCCGGCCTCAAAAAAAAACTTGGGTTGGCGAACGACGCAGTCTTATTGTCAAACTCTTCCAGTCCAAATGAAAGTTTGCTTTTTGCAATCAGTTCTCATATACACTCTGGAGGCGGAAGTCTGAGCGAACATCCTTCCGCACCGAAGGCAGCTGCAGGCCTCCATGAGACCGGCTCATTTACGGGCGGATCAGCCACGCCCGCACACTCATGGATCATGAATTCTTCCATAGGATGGCTGGACAACACTCTTTCTTTTCACCGCATCTCGACAATTGCCAGCAATAAAGCTTTTTTTGTTGAGTGCAATTAACAAGTCCTGCCGCGAAACCCGTCAGCGCTTCTGAAAGGTCGGCAGACGGGACCTAGGTTTGGAGCCTGCGCTTGCAAAACAAACAATCAAATTTCAAAATTGGATCTCAAAGAAGACCGCCGTGGGATTTTTTGGAACATGGCTATTTTCTGTGGCATGCTTTCCTGTTTACCGATGAAACATGCGCAACCGGAATAATTACGATTGGCTTCCTTGTTATTGTTCGAAACCCAAACAAGGCAACTTGTTTCCTGGTCAGGCCCGAATGAAAGCAATTTCATTGGTTCGGAGGTGTCGCAACTTCTTAAAGTGCCCATTCACACACACAAACACTTTTCACCACATACACCCCAGCTTCACACCACAAGAGGTGGCCAAAGCCCATCGCGATTTTCGAATCATAGCTTTGGATCGGAAGTTTAGGAGGCTTTTTTGAGGACTCAGTTCAGAAAGCTGCTGGTGGTAGCGCTTTTGATTTCGTTTTTCGCATTCAGCAGACAAATAGAACATAGCGACAGCGGCTTGCACGTGAGCATGTTTTTGCATGGTTCCATGTATTTTATGTATTCATAGTCGGTATCATATCACTAATGCACATGCAAAACGCCAATGTCTTTCAGAACAAATACCAAAGATGGACAGCAAGACCACATGGGGATTCACATTTTGTTTAGTGTGCTTGTTAGCACTACGATGACGGCCGGGCCGCTGTTTGAAGAGGACAACTGGCACGACTGGCAGCCCGTCGAGCAGACGGCATTAGATTTTTTGTCGGTACCTCGGCAGCATCATGGCCATTGTACTGCACATGAGTGACATCAATCAGGGCTCAATTGTCCTGGTCTGTTTAGCAAAATCAGGACAAGCATGGCGACAGAGCTGACGACATGGATTGCGAGGAGGATGAAGATGAAGACGAAGCTGAATGGAATCCGGTCATGCAGAGCGGGGCAGGATATTCGGAACAGCCGACTCATGAATCCGTGACAGCGGCTGAAGTTGAAGCTGGTGAGGCGGGCCCTTAAGACCATGTTCGAGATGGGTTCATTGCACATGTTAGTTGAATATCCTAGTGCAAGTCTGGGACTGACTTGATCGATGTCGTGTTTTATGTAGCCCGAGTTGTTATGCTCCATAGCATGTGAACTGTTGTGCACAATGATCCTTCGTTTGGTTTTCAATTCGGGAACACAGGCTTCCTGTTTGAATGGGAGCTGGTTTCAGATCTGCGTGAAGTCCAACTCAGCTGTCCAGTTCTGCCCACCGACAGCCTGCAAAGAATTCGATGTTTTTCTCCTTTCGCGTTTCTGCGGCATACATAAGCAGGAGCACTTTCGAGGGTTTGTTGGCCACGGAGCACATACAAACGACAGTGCTGCAGGTGTCAGTCTTTCACGACTTTCGCCTGTCAGAACAATCCTCGTTGGAGCCACTGACTATAAACGAAGTGTTCGTGAGCAGGAAAGTGGCAGCGATGATGACTGGGCACCTCAATCGCAAGGTGCCGCAAACGTGGAAAAGTCAGAAGAGGAGGCATTGAAAGTCCTCCTACAGCCAAACTACGTCAAAGATGTTCGTCCGGAGCTTCTCAGTTGCATTAATCTTTGTCGCTCGCATCTTGCAGCTGCCTGAACACCTGCTGTGTTCGCCTGAGCTTTGTCAGGATCCTGCAATCCAAAAAGGAGGCAGACGCAGCAGGACGAATGCTGCACCAGCTCCAAAGGCTCCAAGAATGTTGCGGTGAATCAGCGGATGTGCGGAGCTGCTGTCTTGAACTTAAAGCGGAGGCCACCAACTTGGGAAGAAGTGAAGGAAGACATGCCTCGCGGTCCAGACGTTGATCCGGACCTCTTGGATGCGCCAGCCTACAAAAACATGACGCAAGAAGAAGCCATTGACCTGGTGCAGAGAGGCGTGTTGGGTTAACATGTTGCGATGATTGCTCTTGCTGCTCGCACTTCAAGTCTGGACAGGTGCAACTGTGAATTTCCACGGCCAGCATGGGCGAATGCCTCTACATAAGGCGTCGGAGAAAGCCTTTCCCTATCTGGTCAAGGCTCTGTGCGAAGCTCGTGCAGATCCAGACGGAAGAGATCAGTTTGGCTGCTTGAATGACGAGATGAGATATACGGACCAATATAACCCGCACGGGCCACTTCGAGTTTCAGGTTCCTTCGTGTGTCCATCCTCAGGCATCATGTCAGGCTTGAACAGCTTTGAGGCGAATACCGTGCAATATGGCAATGCCCAAAGGCGACACATCACATCCGCGGTTGTAAGCAGCAATCAGCCTCAGGCCGGACATGTCGCATATAGCCAAGGCGAGACGCCATTGCATCTCCTGGCCAAGTCTGGTACTTGGGACGAAGCGATACCAGCATCAAGACGTTGTGAAACTATCCAGATGCTGCTTCAACACGGTGCTGATGTTCATGCCGTGAACCCTCGTGGACGTGGAGTTCTGCATTTGGCTGTTACTGAGCATGATGACCTTGCCATTGAGACTTTTATTGAAGGAATGGCGGACATCAATGCTCAAGACCTGGCGGGCTTTACTCCGCTCATGTGGGCAGCTGGAAGGGACAGCACTGACTGTGTCAAGATGTTGCTGGACTGCGAGGTGACATCCCGAATTTAGTCGAGCTTTGATTGAGTTTATAAGTTTGAAAAAAATTGGAAAATCTTTGTCCGGCGGTCATACAAGGCTGACATGAACGTCAAAGCATCGCGAGGGCAGACCGCAATGACGTTTGCCCTGACAAATGGATGCAATGCCATCGTAGACATGCTGGAGAAGCATCAGGCCATTCTTGATGCGGAGGAGGCCTGTTCTGGCAGGGATCACCTACGGCGTCGCAGTGACGCATGAAGTCCACTGTTCAGGCCAAACGAATCAAAGAACGAGGTGAAAGCCGCAGCGAGGCAGCGAAGGCGCATGTCGGGAGCCACGTCAAGTCTTGCGGGTACCAGTACGGTTCGAGTTCTAGAGCTTGAAGAGTAACGGTACCTCGGAGTCCTTCCTTTTGCTTTGATGATTTGGTCGTACAAAGCATAAACCGTGCTGAAGCAGCTTCGCAGTTGGCCTCGAGAAGGAATATGTCGGCTTTTTCTTGACTGGCTTTAGGACCTAGTTTAGGCCCCGTGTGTTTGCGGTGCCTCTTCGGGACCCTGACTGAGTATACCTGTGCGACTGAAAGCAATTCGCGCTCCCCGGCACTTCCTGTCCAGTGTTCTGCTACGCAAGAATGTGAACTGGGACGTCACATTCCGGCGTCTGTCGATTTTGAAATACAGGGCTGGCTCAATCTACGTGCAGCACGTGGGAGAGGTGGACTGGCTCCGATGGGCCCCACACCAATCAACATCAAGCCTGAGGGTCATAAAATGATTGAATTTCTCGTGCGATGCTGATCACTCGTCTACAAAACTCCGAAGGTCAACGATTCGAACTATCATCCCGAACGCACCCATGCATGTGAAACAGACTATTCGACCTTGTCTATGCAAGACAGCCCAGGAAGTGGAGGGTTGAG